TTTTGCAAGTAAACCACTTCCAAAAAAGTCATACTTCATTCATAAACTGATCAGTTACAACAAGAGTCATATATTTACAACTAGTCATATAATTACAAAAGCAGTCCTGCACCACATAATTACAAAAGCAATCATGCACCACATTATATTGCACTTGTTCATCACCTATTACAAAAGCAGACTATGACCAATTATCCTGCAAATTTAATTGCCAAAAAAGCAATTATGAAGATACAACAAATTAAACACTTTTTCAGCTTCAAATAACTTGAAGCAACTGTCTCAATTCCGCTGAGTTTGTTTTCCATTTCACAGTTCAAACCATCAATCTCTCTATGCAGGTCCAAGTTCTCCTTTTTCAATTGTAAAATCTCATTCATCAGTGTTTGCTCTTTATCCCAGCAATATGTTATCCAAAACTTGGGTCGAGAATCAAAGTCATCATCAAATCAAATGAAAAAATTGCAACCATATTAAAATTCACATGGATCATTACACAACAATCCAGAGGTATGGCCAGCTTCCTCACCATCCTTCTACGATAATAAAAAAACAATAAAAACAATAATAAAACAATTAAAAAAACCTGACCAAAAACGATCTTAACAAAAAAAAAAACAAAAATAAAAAACCAGATTCCTCATCAAAGCAAAGCACAACAAATTGATCGAAGACCATAGAATAGAAATAACCAAACCAAAGGGAAGATATATGAGCAGAGCAGTATAAAGAAGGATTAACATTAATATATGCTGTGAATTGCTCAAAGGCCCACATTTGCACAATCAAAAACACAAAAACAAGCTTTACCGAAAATTTTGGACATCCCCAAAACCTCCGTCCATAGTTCAATTGAGTCATAGTAGTTCCTTTAACTGGTCGAAGACCACATTTGCAGAGACCCACAAACTCGCCATAATGAGGAGATGAAGATGGAGAACCAAATTGAAAGAATGGTTAATGGGAATTGCTTGAATACATGCTGGGTTCGGTGATTGGGTGAATAAAAACAAGGAAGATGATAGGACCAAAAATTAGAAACAGGAATTATAGAAGAATTAGTGAACCAGAAGGGAGAATCTAAGGGAAAAAGAAAAAGAACTAGGGAGGGAGAGAGGGCCTATTTTGACTGTATTGAAAGATCTAATGATTGAAGAGAAAGAAGAATTTTGAGCAACTAGAACAACTAGGGTTCTTGATGCAAGCGAATGCAGGAAATAGGGGAAAATGTTGATAGAGAACTTAAGGCTTGGTGGCGTTAGCGTTTCTGCAAATGGGGGAAAATTGGGGAAAATGTCGAGGGAGAGAGGAGAGATACAAAAAGAAAGTTGCCAAATTTAAAAAGAAGAAAACATGGTTTTATCAGGGCAAAGTGGTCCCTATTATTCTTACATAGGTGGCATCACATGTGGCAGCATATGTGGGGGAAAAAAAAAAAAGAACAAATGGGTTTCACTGCTGACCGTTTAGAACTTAATGGTCAGCAGTGACGGCAACATGAACAACATCAGGGCAGGAACGACAACGAACAAAAAAAGCAAAGTATAGGGACGACGTTTGGCTCTTTGGTAGAGTAGAGGGACGACAACGAACATGTCCTTAGTAGAGGGACAAGAACGAATAAAATATTAAAGTAGAGGGACGACAATTGGCTTTAAATCGATTTTAATTGGGTCCAATTTTACTACATCTATTCACCCACAATAAGCTAACAA